CCCACACCCACACCCACACCCACCCACACCCACACCCACACCCGTAGAAAGGATTATGCCAGGAGAAATAATTATAGCTACGAATCTAGCAGGACGGGGTACCGATATAAAAACGAATGAGATTGAAAAATATGGTGGTCTTCATGTTATTATCACGTTTATGCCTCCTAATAAACGTGTCGAGGAACAAGCATTCGGGAGAACTGCACGACAAGGTAAACGAGGTATAGGTCAAAGAATATTAAATACTAAACATTTATTGCGTTATAGTCATTGTACCGTTGAGACAATTCTCCAATCAAGAGATCTAACCGAAGAAGATATGTTAGAGCATTTTAAAAAACGAGAATTACAAGTAATTAATTTAAAAGATAATCTTTTTACTAAATTTTGTGATTTATTAAGAGTTATACGTAAAGATATTAGGGAGAAAACGAGCGGCATGACAACATTAAAGGAAAAGGTAAAAAGAAAATTCCGGCATGATCATCCTTCTGTATTGGAATCGAATTTAATTCTTAGCATTGAAGAACGATGGGCTATTTTTCTACATAAAATTGATAATGAAGAATCGTCTATTAATATTACAAAAATTTATCAAGATTATGAAAAATTTAAAAAGGAAATAATTGATGATTACCATAACGACTGTGTCATTAAAAATCCTTATTATCATATTAAGATTGGTTATGACTTAATCATCAATGATTCTTTGTTAAGCGAAACCTATGAAGAAGCTATGAAACATTTTGATCGAGCTATCGAACTTGATGAGAAATATACAGCAGCTGCATTTTTTGGTAAAGGCTGGCTATTATTAAAGGGTACGAGAAAATTTATTCTATCAATGAAGCAAGATATCAACTATAAGGAGACAGCTATTGCTGAGTTTAGCAAAGCACTTCAGATTTTGAGCAAAGACATAGCTGCACTAACAACTATGAAAATACTTCTTGAACGAAGATGTTCACAAATTTCGACCGCTCTATCAAAACAATTATCTCAGAAAATCAATATTCTTACTACTTATATAAATAGCATAGAAAGGGATATAGCTGTTATTGAAAAGTCTCAAAGATTGATTCAAATAACCGAGAACTCAAATACAAAGGATGAAGTAGTGTTAGAAGAGATGATTACATATGTTAAGTTTGAGAAAGGATCTGGAAAATGGTGCGATATTTATTTAATCTCGACTGATAAAGTAGATGCCCATTTAGATGCAGTCAGAGAACAAAAACAAATTTTTGTCGTTGAAGATAAAAAGGAATTTAGTGTTAAATATAAGCCAAAAGGAAAAGATGAATATGAATCATTGACAATAACAAATAAGCATTTGATTGATTATCTATCACCTTTACAACATGAGCAAATGACAATACTAGATAGAAACAAATATCCAAGAGTTTATGCATTAATTTATGAAGCTGTAACATTGAAAAATGGGTATGTTCAACAAGATTTTGTAGAGTCTCTCCAAATTTTAAAAGATGGTAAAACATATGAAGTAGCATTTAACGACTTAACTGTCAGACAAGATTTCGGAACTATCGATCAAGCGATAAAAACTATCGATTGTGCGGTGTCAGAAAATCAGTCAAATCGAATAGAGGATAGCACTGCATGTAAAACTACTGTCAGGCAAAATGTAGGTTTAAGCAGTACTTCTAGACAGATTAGTATTAGTATAATGCAGATTAATGCAGGCGTATGGAAAGAATTTTTAAATCCTAATATTGAAATTGAAGAAGTAACAAAAGAATTAGCGATATCACATTTAGAAGATAAAAGTTCATTCTTTCATCGTCACATACTACCGGAAAATTGGTCTCCCGATTCATGTAAAGTTAATTTAGAAATTAAGATGAATAATGAAACATCGGAAAAAAAATATGGTGTGCAAATAAGAGACGCAATAAAAATTATTAAACAACGAACAGAAAATAACATATATTTCAATTTGACTTTCATTGATGCAAATAAAATGTCAAAAGTTTTGAAAGAAAATGTTTTATTCCATTCAGATCAAATCATAGAATTTATTGGATTAGATAGAAATGGTTTACAAGATAAATTAAGTACAATTAACTCGAAGAAAATTGATCTTGAAATATATGACAATAAAGAAACATTACTAGAAGTAATTCGTTTATCAGAAGTGGAAAACGTGGAGATTTCTATTGATAGCAAATTAGAAAAAAATATTGACAGTATTAAGAAAAGAGTAGACAAGCAAATAGCAAAGGAAACTATTGAGAAGAGTACTAGTAGTCGAGTGACTATTGGATTGAAGGATATAAAAAAGAATCTTGCAGAAAAAATAATTGATATTTGTCCGAATGCAGACTTTGTTACTAGATTTATCAAGGTAAAATTTGAAACTCTTTTAAGTGGACTAAATCATGAAATTGTAAATTTTCATTTTGATAGATTGAAGAAAGAAACTGCTACGACTCTTATTAAAGAATTACGTAAAAAGAATCTTAATTTTATATTGAAATTTAAAAATTTGACAAATCATCAAGCACAACGACTTATAGAAATAGCTCCAATAGAACAAGAAAACATTCAAATAACTAAAAAGAAAACTTTAAGTGAATTATTCATGAATGAATCAATGCCTAAATTAGAACTTTCAGAATTTTCCGAGCGAGGTATCGAATATTTACTTGAAATCAATGAGAAAAGATTTATTCCATGGAGAAGTATCGCTGTTGTAACTATGCTTGCTGCTATTCAGATGGCAGTAGGTGGAGCATTAATAGCTACTGGAGTCGGCGGTACTATAGGAATGGGTCTGATAACTGAAGGACTAGTAGATTTAGTCATTGCTGGTACTGCTTTATATACTAGAAAGTTTTCTTGGTCAAGTTATGCACTACAGAAAGGAGTAAGTTTGACTATATCAGCAATTTCTATGGGGATTGCATCAATAAAAGGCTCGAGTAAAACAGTTCAAAACATTGCAGTAGGAATAGGAGACGAAATAGCTGAACAAGCAAGTACTCATGCAGTAACACATGGTAAAACTCTAACTCATGGATTAGCTAAGACTGGACATCATCTAGGCAATCGCGCTTTTAAACATCTTGCAGTAAAGACTGCTGCAAAATCACTATTTCTTGTTAGTCAGACTATAGCGATTAGTGCCCCTTTTGCATTGGAATACTTAAAACCGAATATATCGAGATTCATACAAGATAAAGTTAAGGCAAGTTTTTCTGAATCTGGATTGGTAAAATTAATAAGCAAGATATATGCAATTGACTCATTTAACAAACAAAAACAACTTACAAAAAAGATCGATGAGTTAGTAATTCAGATAATTAATTCAAATAAAAATTCTTGTGGATTACACTGGACTTCGATCTGTAAATCACTAAATCAGTGCATTGATACAGTAAACTCAAACATCGTGTTTGGCACAATCAGTTTAAGTATGAAAATAATAGCAATTTTGAGCAGCAAACATGAAATCGATATTATTATCAAAGATATTTCCAAAAACCTTGTAGTAAAACTCTCACAATTAAATCTAGATACATTATCAATAGAGCGAATCTTAGTACGCTATTGTAATGTTAGTAAGGAAGATATCAAAGACGTAATATCCCTTCTTAAAGCGCAGAATATTATAGAAAAACTCGGTGTCGTTAACGAAAATTTACATGATCAAGATTTTCTAGAGAAATTGAATCGTTGTGATTTTAAGGAGTACAATAAATATAAAGGGAATATTGTAGATCTTTTAAAAACACTACATAATAATTCATTGGGTGTGAACTTTGATGACTTGAGTGAAAAAATGAAGATGATATCAGATTTAATTACAGATTATACAATCAAATTTACAGAAACGCAACTTGATTCCAATTGAAAGTTCTCATAAACTTAACAAAAAATATTAATATCTACTAATATTAATAATAAAAACGTTCAATGTTCATTCAACTGAATGTTTTACTTCATTCGTCCTAATGTTTGATGAAAATATATTTTTTAATAGATATTAATATTTTTTATTAATGAATTAGAATAAGATCATCTTCTGATAGTTATAGAAAATCTTTGTGAAATTATTTGTTAGTTTTAGTAAAATGATAAAATCAGCAGTGTAAGGAGAGATAGAGAAACAAATCTTGGAAATTTTTAGGAAGGTAAGCATCCAAGTGATCGAAAGATGAAGTACCGAAAAAACTATGCGCTAAGCAACTAAGAATTATGATCATATAATAATATTTTGCAATCTCTTAATCAAAAGAATAAACCTCTCAACCTACTTTACATTGATATTTACTCATATAAATGTATTCAAGTCGAATTGACGTATGTTCTAGTCGGAATAATTCTTTTTTGGAAAACCTCTAGTTCTGTAATTATCATTTTGTTCAGAAATTCTGAAACTGTTCGCTAACTTCACATAAACCGGCTCAATCGTAGATGAAATCTTTCAACCATATTCATACTAACGAAATGTCTTAGGTTCCTAATCTCGATAATATAATAATATAAGGCTTAGGTATCTACTATCCAGTTGTTCACACTGTTTTTATTCACTATTTTTCTCTTACTAACTTTATAGAATTGCCGCTTTATTTTTGTCATTATTTAGTTCAATTTTTTTCGTTGCGATTAATTTATTGTCATTGTTTAGATAAGATTAAACTTCACCCAATGACCGTGATGTGTTTCTAAATAATACTACATTTGACAGAAAACTAAAAATAGTAGATGATCGAAATTATCACCTAACAGAAGATACAAATAGTAAATCATAGAGAACTCTTGTCATTTGTATTTTTGTCAAAGAGACAATGAGTCAATATCATAAAAGAAAAATAAACTATGAATCAAGTAGACTCGTCAAATTAATTACAAATTATGTTGTGATAAATTGGTATAAATTATTTGTAAGTTAGTAGATATTTGACATTAGAGTCAAAAGGAAAAATTCATCTTTTGAGAATCGAATTTCTAAGTGCAAATCTGCAGAATTTAATCGTATACCATGAGTATTTACATTATTTAAAAAAAAATTAATGATTTTGAACATTGTTTATGTTACAGAAAATCAGTGATTACTTTTTGAAGAGATTAAAAGGCAATGAGTTATAAATTTACTCGAAATCTCAAAGTGAATAGTGTTAATAATCTAATCTGCTATATTCGTGTCTAAGGACGCGAAAAAATTTCATATCATATATGTCAATGTCCCAACGAATTGGTATAGAAAGAACTTTTTAGTTCTTTTTTTTTTTTGTATGCTGATGTTTCAAATCATTCAGCAACTATTTGAACCTCTTCATATACACAATACAAATTTCTCATATTAACAAATTATTTGTAATACTTTCGGATTTTCATTCACTTCAAGAAAAGATAAATTCTCTAGCATGATGTTTTGCATCTAGTAGTTTTTGTTCATATATTGTAGTAGATATATGAAAAATCAGGATCGTATGCCTATCAAATTTTTCAATTACGATATAACTCATATATTCCCGGGACATACGACTCTGATTTTTATGGATCCATTGCAATATGCAATGTTGGTCAAGGGCTGTTACAGGTTCCTTTGTTTTGATGCATTATCTATATACTTTTACCTTGTATATTTTCCTTTATTTATGACTTGTTTCATTTAACGATTATCTATTTTCGCAATGTCATGATTATTTTTTCCTGTCTATATCTATATTACTAATGTACATGCATCTATTGTTTCTTTTTTCTTTCTTTATTTATATCAAAAAAATCTGTTCATTTTTTTTGTGTCGTCTTTTTAAACAAAAATTTTTTTGTCATGAATATCTCTCAAGCATGTCAATATTAAATTGGCTAGATGTCACGAATTCGAGTTTTTCTGAGAACTTTCAAATGAATAAATATATTCCATGGAGAAGAGCTATCAATGATTGACTAACAAGTTCTAACAAAATCAGAAAAGAAAATATTGTTGCAAGACATTGGTGGATCCAAAGAAACATTAATGACACAATTGAAATTGTTATGTTCCAGTCAACATTTTCTGTTCAATTTAATTTCATGAAACTTTTCTAATCTTGAGATTTACAAAGATATTGATATATGTGTGTTCATTTCAAACTTCATGAAGATTTGGTCAAAAGGAGAGAATACTCAATTAATCTTATACTCCCTAGACTGAAAGGCTAGGGTCTAGAAATCATAATTCACCTGTGTCTGTCTGTAACAGGCACTTGGCACAAAAAAACCATTTCTCTGGCACAAATGACCATTTCCATGGTACAAATGACTGGAAAAGTAAATCTATCTGGCTGTCATCCTTCTGTCAGTCTAGGATCTAGTGAATCGACTTTTCACGTCGATGAATGTTACTTGTGAATATAATCACTGTTAAAGTCATGATGGCAGTAAAGTAAAAACGAAGACAATTCAATTATTGCCACATATCATCAAAATGTTTACGGATCTTCCTTAAATACGATGGAAAAACAAATAACATAACCAACATCAAATGGCAAAGTTGAATAACATAATTCTTCAAAGAAGAAAATGGCTAACATTTAAACCCAAAAAATTCTATGCAATATTTACTACTTTATTACATATCTTATATCTCCTGTCTGTATGGAATAAGAAATTTTGCTAATCAATTCAAGCTGGTTGTTTCACTCTGTGTTAGCGTCAACAGATATTACATTGTTGCCGCTAACCTTTTTCGTTCTTTCGCTCTCCTTTACGTAACCTATGTGGGGTTTGATGTTTTCCCAACATATATATCTTTTTTTCTCTATCTTTCGTTCAGCTTTATGAACAAGTCTTTCTCCAGTTCAGTTGATTTTTTTTTGTTATGGTGATCACTCGTATTCCATCATTAAATACATATTCGTCATCTGGACTTATATTATCTTGTCAGTCATACCAATCTACAAGTTAAAGTAGGGTTACTAACATCACTAACCTAGCTAATACACATCTTGGTTCTTTTGATTTCTTCTAGTCTATTAACATTTAGTGGGTAGGAGATTTTGGATGAAGGAGAAGGGTGTGGGTGGGTGTGGGTGTGGGTGTGGGTGGGATGTGGGTGTGGGTGTGGGTGGGGTGGGTGTGGGTGTGTGGGGTCGGTGTGGGTGTGTAGGTGTGGGTGTGGGTGTGGGTGTGGGTGTGGATGTGGGGCGTGGGTGTGGATGTGGGTGTGGGGCGTGGGTGTGGATGTGGGTGTGGGTGTGGATGAATAAGAGATCTAGACCCACACCCATACCCAACACCCACACAACTGATGATTCGTATCAAATACAATAGGTTTTTTAATTCTATATTATTACAGATTTATTTAATTGTTAACAAATTCGTGGGTTACAATAATATTACATAAAACAGAGTTTTGTTAAAAACACGATTTATTTCGAATTCTGTTTTTTTAAAAATACAATAGGTTTTACATCATTATTGTGATAGACATAACGAAGACTAAATTCATCTTTTATAGAGCGAACTTCGGTCTAAGAAATTGATATATAAAAATATGATAGAAATCCTACCAAACATTTTGTATTCAGATTATCATATCCTAGTTAAAATGATTTTTCTTCTGTTATTTCGACATGTATATGTTCTTTTGTGCTTTTAGCAACAACACAAAATCCTTATGCATGTAGTAGCATGACAATATTGACTGGTTATGATCTACTGGGCAGTAATATAATTTCAAATTCTTTAGTTAATTATACTGCTTGTTGTGTATGGTGTCAATCGCATAGTGGTTTTATTGCATATACATGGGGTTTACCGGGAGCAAATTGGGCTGCTAATAGATGTTTTTTAAAAAATGAAATTCCATCTAGCGTCGCTAGTTCAGTATTTGTTAGTGCATATTACTAAATTTGTTCGAAAGATAAGGGTGAGTTTCGAATAACAATTTATCATGGCTTAATTCTTGAAAATTTTTTAATAGTTATCAAAACATGTTTTAGATTATGATCAAAGATCTCATCATATGACTGAAATTTTTTACACAAAATTATTAATTTTTAATATTTTAAATAACACAATCATCGAAAAATTAAAAGTAAAAGTGTTTTAGAGAATCGTTTAAAGTTCTACTGAAAGGATAAAGCCCTAGTCGAACATCTTGTAAGCAAGACCTTGGTCAAGATCTTAGGTACAGAAAAGTAAACAGATCTTGAAAATTTAGGTACAAGATAATTATATTATCTTGTACCAAGATCTTGAATTAGATCTTGGGTACAGATTGATAAGATCTTAGGTACAGATTTATAAGATCTTAGGTATAGATCCGTAAGATCTGGGTACATACTAAGATAAAAAGTGTTGCATGTATCGGATTTGCAAAACAATCCATGATACAATCTGAAAGCGTGGCTCAAACCTATCATACAGCGTATTTATTATTCTTTTTCTTTAAAAGCATGTTATGAAATTTTTTCAATTTAGATTCATTTTAATTATTCCTATTCCGAATAACTGAAGCAAGCCCAACATCAGAACTTACCTGTTCTTGAGATGGTTCGATCTCCGTCAGACGGCTTCAGGTAGTCCTCTCCCGATTAGTGATCGAGATCAGCAATTTCTCGAATGATTAATAGTCGAGAAATAGTTTAGAAAAAAAAAATCATTTCGAAAAGTGCATGTTTCATATATTCAATCATGTTGTTTATATACGGCTCTGTATGCATAAAAAAAAACGGTGAATGACTAGTCAGTATGTAACCAATACAATAATGATGTCACTTTTTATTTTTTTCAAGATCTTGTGAAAAGATAATCGTGAATGATATAATTTCCATGATCTTAACAAGATCTTTAGCACAGATTTATCTGACACACCGAAGATATGCACATACAAATTATCTTTTCCAGATCTTCTCAAGATCTTGCTTACAAGATGTTCGACTAGGGAGGAGTGTTTTGTTTCTATCCCACATTTTCTGTAGTCTTAATCGATGCAATGATGCTTTTATTTTTAATGCAAACATTGCAGGCGTAGCTAATCTATATATTTATTTATAAGGAATTTGTAATAAAGTTAAATAGCGTTTAAGTTATGTTAATGGTAAGATTATAACATGGTTTCAGTTGATGGAATATAGATAATCCTATCTTTGTATAGAAAATTCAAAATTAATTATCTAAAACTATCAACATTGTATCACACAAAAAAACTTTGTAAATTATAGTTTAATAAACGATATCGAAAGATATATATGAAAGTATTTTTATTAAGAATATTGAGACAAGATGAGTAACAATTTGAAAATTTACCGTTAAATTAGTCTATGCATTATTTATCTGCTCTTTTTTTTACCTTCGTAATTATTCATTCTTCATTCTGCTGTAAATCTTTCTTTATTTTAGTTCGTTATAATTTTCAATCAATTACTTATTTATATATCAAATATATTTTCGAAAAATAAATAAGTTTTTCTTGTTCTATTAATCTTTTGTCAAAAAATGAATCGTGTCACATATTCAAAATTTTGGGTAAAAGTTATGTTAAATTCATGGTATTATTCAATACTATCTTGTGCTTATTTTCACTCGTTATTAGTGTGACTGATAAAGTTTCCATGAATATATGTATGAAAAAATAAAAAATATGTTCAGGGTTCATCGCCACATAGTGTAGATTAGTTGAACTTTTGTTCAATGGCGTAAGAACGTTTGTACTCGATAATTAGTTGTGTCTGCTACATATAAATTAAGTTGACTGTCAAGTGCCACCCCATAAGGAATACCGAGTAGGCTTGAAGTCGTACCAGAAACACCAGTGACACCAGCAACTGTTGTGCCATTCAACTGACCAACCAAGAAAAGTTGTACTCGAGAATTTCCTGTATCGGCAACATACACATTACTCATATAATCGACTGTTAAACTTACAGGCATATTGAGCAGTGTCGATGTACTACCACTCGCTCCACTGATGTCACCAGCGACAAG